AAATTTAATAGTTTTTCATTTCTCAAGGTAATCCATTCTTTAAGCCATACTAAACAGCAAAGTTGTTTGTCTTTTAATGTGGTGGGAAATTTCAACTGCTATAAAGAAGAATGAATAATCTCAGGGATTGTTAAGTAGGATGGGGTCTAAGCCAAGCCAGGATATATCTAATAGGCAAGAAGTACCACTATCTAATTTTTATTACTTTAATAGTTGTCACAGAAATATTGAAAATGCATCTTTAATATGGTTGTTAGAGATTCAGAAGACTCATTTAATAGGCAAAAATTAAATTTGCTTCATTAAAATAAATGCAGCTGTTATGTCATCTATTTATTCATTTGTTATGTTTAGTAATCACAGTGGACTATCTGGAGGACACTTGTCTAATGTTATTCATAGTATATGAATCTCTGCACTGAATACACTAGAACGACCTTCCTCAACTTGATCCCCCACAGGTATGTTGGGATTTCAATATACACTAGCTAAGAATGCTGGTATTTGTAGCCGTGACACATCTCAAGGGCATCAAGTTGGGGAAAACTACTCTAAAAATTCTGATCAAAGCTCTGCTACTGTTTCCTGCAGGTCTGGGGCCATCTCTTCAAGTTTACCTTCTACTGATATGAAAGAGAATTAATGATATTTATTTTAGCTGATTTTTCTTAACAAATGTTTTATTTAAAATTGTTCTATTTATTTCCTATTCATAGCAAACAAAACATTTTCCTCTGAATTATATAAATAAGACTCATGAGACCTGTAGTATAATATATCAACAATTACTTAAGTATTTAGCCAAACACTCTTGTTAGATTAATTCTACAAAAGTGAAAGTCTACAGCAAGCCCCATACAGTGATACCTTATGGACTACAAAGAAATTACTTTGTATTAATTCTATCTCAACTCCATTGTCTTAATGTAAACAGTCATGCCCGTAGAAAGTATTTTCTATAGTTGCTAAAATAATGTGAATGTTTCTTGTCCACATCATTTTTCATCCTTTATGATTCTTAACTGATAAAAACAAGTTTGGAATGTTGAGTGGTTAGCAATAATCATTCATTTTTGTAATGATGTTTTGTTTTGCAAGATATTCTTGGTAAGTGAATCCAGTGTGAAGGGCTGCAGTTCTCTTAACTGTTTGGTGGGCAGTTCTGCAGTTCTACAATGGAAGAGGTTGGTCAGAAGCAGGAGGGTAGTGGATCTTTTGTGACTGAATGGAACTTCTGTCGTCACCAAGAAAAAAAGGACAAAACAACAGAGGAGGATGACTAAGGAAGGGAAAAGAGAGCTGCCTGTCTCTGTAATGCATGTAATCTCCCTTACAGTCAATACCTCTGTCTTCAGTTTCCTTTAGTCCAAGTAAAAGGATTTTTAAAAAAAGCAAATGAGAACCTGGACTTTACATGCTCACAATTCTTAGATAAACATAAGAAAACACACAGTTAGTACTTACACGATCTAGAGTAATGCATATCTCCCATCCAGGCTTTGCTGCCAAGAAAGTCAATGCCATAACATTGCTTGTGATTATGAGTGTCTGAAATTTAAAACAGACAATAACTAAGTAGTAAGCAGTTACAAAATACAGTTTTTTTAAAAATCTCTACTGAGAAAGACAGGGCGTAGCTTATAATCTTTCAAATAATCAAGGGAATACAAATTAAAAGGGTTTCCCTGTTAAATTAAACACACATGCTGACAGGACATTTTTTAAGTTGCAGTCTTGTTGATATATGGACAGTGCCAAGTTGAAGAAGCCTGCTGTGGGTGCTGGATACAATCTGAGCCCAAACAACATGCTCAAAAGCAAATTTGACTGAGTTCAATACAGCAGAGCTAATTTCAAGAAAATGAGCATAGAATTGTCACCATAATTTTCACAATTTGCACATTAGGAACACATACCATAAATTTTGATATAGGCTTTTCTGCATTACAAGGTTATGTTGGAAGATTTTTGTTTCCATCACTTATTCACAAATTCACTGCTGTAAAACATATTTGCTGTCCATTTCTGCAACCAGCATTATACAAAACTCATGATTTTTTAAAAACGTAATTCTGATAATAAGTAAACCCACTCCAATAGGACATAAGAACATTCCACAAAGATAGTACTTAGCAATTGGATTTTTTATGTCTTGCAAGAAATACATTAAATCAGGGTTGGGCAACTCATGGCATGTGGGCTAAAAACAGCTCCATTTTTCATGCTTTCCAAGAATATGTCACCCACTTTTTTCACTAAAAAAAATTCCTTGCCCTTCAAAATGCAAAAAAAGGGGGAAATGGCATAGAATTCTGGTCCTGATCTTTCCTGGAACATCACTGCCACAACCCTTGCAGCTGTTAGAGGCCAAAAATAAAACAGTGGTCCCAACTGCAAAAAGATTGCCCATCCTGCACTAAATGATCCAATTCACCTGATGGATGTCAATGTGCAAATGATATAAATGGTACCTGGTTGCTAATGTCCCAGAAATCAGGTGTGAAATTGTTTTCTTTCTTTAAGAGAGCATATCTCCTGAAGTTGATATCAAGTGGAAAGAAAGCCAAAAGTAAATTAAGGAAATATATGGATTTCAAACAGCATCTCACACTTCCAAATAGGTTTAAACTACTGTAAACAAGTATTTTTAAATTACTATTTATAAATGTTCATCACGTTTACAGTTTTAAATGTAATGAGCGATCGCTATCATAAAAATAAAACAAAAATACAGAACTATGATTGCTAAAACATGCCTTGTGCTAAATTCCAGCATTATCCTTTCAATAACTTGGAATATTAAAGCCAGCATGTGACGGGAGGATAAGTTTAATAAATAAATAAGGGTCTCAGATCTGGGTGTATAAATCTGAATGTCCATTAGTTGGTAGCAAATAGTGTGAGTCTTTGTATTTATTCCTACCATATGTCTATCCTGATCTTCGCAGCTGAAATGTAATAGTCCTAGGCAAGGACAAGGCAAGTTTAATTAACCACTAAACTATTTCTATTACAGACTTTTTAATGAAAGCTTATAAAAATAAAAAAGACAACTGTCTGGTAAAACCAGAATCACTTACAAAAACACATTAGGTATTTTTGTCCCCACTCAGTTACAACCCCATATGCTGGAATATGTTCCTGAATCTGTTCTGCTCCTACATTTCAAAATATTTTCTATACAACCTATCAGGAACATGTCAGAAATGGAATATTTTGTTGATATTTCATGAATCAAGTAGTCAGTTCCAGAAGAACTGAGAAGTAACATTGGTTCCATTATAAATAGGCTATTAAACATTTATGTAATCTTTGAGGATTATTTTTACCTGAATAATCGAATTTTCTTACGTGCAATAGCTCCATGGTACCTTCTTAAGCCGTCCTCCACAATGAACAAAGCAGGAAAATAAAGAAATTAGCTATAATATGTGTACTTAAAAAAAAAACACTATTAGTTAAATTAAATGTAATTACACTTAACTTTAAGAATAGCTGACAGATCATGTAACAAATTGTAAAGAGTGTGACACAAAACATTACAGACAAAGCAGGGGATGAAAACAACTATTTAAATAAAATGTGTAAATAAACTATAAAGCAGTCTGAAAAGGTTAAGACCACATTGTAATTAATAAAACAAAAATAATTCAGCTCTTTTTCACTACGACTTAATGATTTTCCAAGTAAAAATTAATCCAAAGCACTTTAGAACAATGCCTCACACAGAATTAAAATCAAGAAATCACCTAACTTAGTTATTTAAATCTTAATTTATTGTTGCACTTATAAAAACTGATAAAGCAGTAATCTTGCTTTACCTAGTCATTATCTACAGTATTCTTTTCCGGTTGAAAAAGGGCTCACCTTGGTCATGGAACTCACTCTGGGAATAAGAACATCTCCATGTTTATTTATAGCATTGAAAATAAGAAAGGCACTGTTAATATGTCGTGCTTGACCTTTGGCCCATTCCTCACAGTTGTATGCTTCAACCCGAACTCCAACTTCAATACTGGGAAAAAAAAGTGTTTAGTTAATTAAAAAAAAATGGGATGAAATCCACAGCAGTGATTTATTAGTCAGTAGATTGAAACAATCCTCTAAGAACTGATTGAAATAGGTAGACAGCTTAAAGAGAAGATGGAGGGGAATATGGCAGTGTTCTTCGAATACAAAGCAAATAGAGGAGAGGACAAGTTAGAAAAGGTTTCCATTACAGTGAAGCTGCTGTTAAATGACCATTCAGAGAAATGTCTTGAAACAGCTCTGCTACTAGAGGAGTGGTTGACTGTCCCTTGTGGGATATCTTCAGATAGAGAGAGGTTCAGTAGCCAAGTTAGAAATAGCCTCACTGGATTTCCTACACCAGGCAAATGATTGGCTTAGATAACCTAACACACTGAGTTAGGTTCAAAACCAAACTTTAGAAACCTTGGTTTAATGCAGGCCAGTACAACTCGTAAAGGGGAAAGGGACACATTGCTACACTGAAAAGAATTCTAGGCTTCAGAGAAATAGCTGGCCAAGCAGCTGTTTGGTGGCTAGCAATGGGGGGCAGTGATGGAGATGGCAGTGCCACTGAGACCCGGAGGTGTTGGAGGTGCTCAGCAGTATCTTTTGGGGCTGCAGAAAATGGACAGCAGTGAATCCTTCCTGGCAATGGCAACATTCAGCGGCAGTGGGTTTGTTGAGTTTTCAGAAAACATTGGTGGGCCGCACAAGGCTGCTTGGCTGGCTGCATGTGACCCACGGGTCATATGTTGGGCAGGCCTGGCTGAATGTGATGTGTGAAGTATTTTCTCTAATCATCCAACAGCCACAGACAAGTAATAGGTTGTTTGGATAAAGAAATAAGTTGTTGTTACAGTATAGTATAAATCTGACTAAGATGTAAATCTAACTTCAGAGTAACACTGCACAGAATTGTGCTTAAAATCTGTAATTAATTAGAACTGTTTAATTGTTTGAGTATGCAGAAGTATGTTTCATGCATGTGGATTTTGTTTTCTTAAAAATATGTATCAGAAAAAGAAACAGAAAAACAACATGGTATAATGTATAAGAAGAATTCCTGAAAATCTAACTACTGATTTCCACCCCCACCCTCATGAATCATTTCCAGTTAAATCAATTGAAATAATTCAGAAAGATTTAAATCTACAGTTGTACTTGACAAAATCTATTTCCTTTGGAGACCATTAAAAAAAAATCCTATTTCTTATTTTATAGTATGTAAGCATAGGATGGTAGGCTGCATGGCTATATAGTGGCAAAGCTTCAATAATTTACATACGTCTTTAACCTTTTCTATATTTAGTAGAAGCAGAATTAATTTTGCAAAATATGTACATTTATTTAACAGCAGGATTTTTTTTTTTAGTGCAGAATACATTTAATCTACATGGCTTTATCCGCAACCTTACCAATAGATGTTATTACAGTGTCATTCTGTAATATTATATTCTAATCTGTGGGAGCTAAGTACCTAGATAAATACATTTCTCTTGATATCTAAAGCACAGCACATCAGTGTGAAAATTAGGGACTGATACCAAATATATTCTGCACTTAGCTTCTTTTACAACAGTCAGATTTGCTGATGTGCTGGATTTTGCTAATACTGTAGTAGAATACAGGACAGAGACTGGTGCTTAATGACAGGCCATAGCATGATGGAACATATCACAGAATCGTAGAACTGTAGAGTTGGATTGGATCTTAGGGATATTTAGCCCAGTGTTTTTCAACCTCAGTAACTTTCAGATATGTGGACTTCAACTTCTAGAATCCCCCAGCCATCATGCTGGAGGTACTTTTGTTTTTAACTATGTTTCTTATGGATTGTTGTGAGCCACCTAGAGTCATCATATGAGATAGGCGGACATATAAGTCCTGTAAAAACCACACATCTTAAAATTCCTGAAGCTGATCTAGTCCAATCCTCTGCAGTGTACAGGAAAACTAATTAAAACATCCAAAAGAGGTGGCTATCCATCCATCCATTCATCCATCCACCTATGTATCTATCGTCTCTATCTATCGTCTATCTATCTATCTATCTATCTATCTATCTATCTATCTATCTATCTATCTATCTATCTATCTATCTATCTATCTATGGAAATATACCTTCTGTTCTGTTGGAATAATGCAAAATTGCAATACATATAAGGATAATCTTGACTGAAAGTTGAATTTTTCAATGCTTGCTTTCTTACTGGTGCAACCCAGAAGAACACCTTTTAAAATACTTTGTATTTTTAATTTTTACTGAATTCTCATAACAAAACAAAGCTCTGACATTGAAGCATTCTGTACAACACAGCATATGATTTGTGTGACGATAGATAGATGGGGGATGGATGGATGGATGGATGGATGGATGGGATGGATGGGATGGATGGATGGATGGATTGGTTGGTTTTTGGTAATATAAAGAATTTTACCTTTTCTGAAAAGTATTGTTAACTATAGCATTGAAAACAAGGCGGTCACCAACAGTTGAAGGTCCTCGGAATTTAAACATATCTACAGATTTCAGAGTTGGATGCAAATGACACAGGCGACTGAATTGAAACAAACAAAAAACACATATTTTTCATGTCAATGCAACTTTACAGTATTTCTACATAATAAACAAGATCTGCACAAAACTGAACCTCCAAGTTTAAACTAATTCTGAGAAATTTAATAAAAATTTCTTCAATGGGAAGTTGTGGAGTTTAAGGACTTTTTAATACTCATACGTATTCCAAAAAAGGGGACAGTTCTGCTTATCTCTTTTATACATACAACACGGTATTCTCTCTTAAATCTCAATGTAATTTGCGTAATTAGTCAATACTGCTTTGCTAATAAATCCAAAGGGATTTTAATGAAGTTTTCTTTGGGGCTGCTTCACATTTATCAAGATGTGCCGAATCTTAGCATCTTTTAGAAATGCTATAAATAAACTGTTGTGGCCTGGAAACTACAGTGATTTACATAAAAATAATTCAGAAAATTGGCCCAATGCTGTAGACAATGTATTTTAATGTCTACAAAGAGAAAGTAATGGGGATATGGGAACTTCCCGTGCCAATGTAAGTAGCCCAGCTGGAAAAAGAACACCAACTCTAAGATTTTCTGTGCTTCCACTGCATACATTAGCAGACCAGTTATGGGCCATTACCAACTATGTTGCTCAGTTTTTATATTATCAAGCTTCTTTTGTGAAATCAAAGGAATATTTTGACCAATAAGGGAATTTGTCAATAACAAATTCTTACGCAGTGACTAGCTTCTATAGCATCATCACATGATTACACAAACACTTCTTTGTTTTTATTTTTATAAAAAGCCACCAACCCTTTCCTTTATATGTGAAAAAAATCTACCATTTAGATTTATTTTAATATATAAATGTTCTATAAAATTTGGGCTAAAAACTTAGTGTTGTTATAAGTCTGAAATTTTTAACCTTTGTTTAGCAATGACACTGTTTTGAGCCATTATTTATCCTTAGCTCTTAACTCAATTACTCTTTATGATGTACCAGAATTGTTAAATGTGCACAATTATCTGTTTCTAATTAATTTAACTGAGCATCATTATAATGTATTCAAATTACTTTGGTTTTCATTAAGAATAATTTGCTCCTCCTATTTAAATTGCTAAATATCTCATTTGCAATACTCACAGTAAGGAGTCCAGCTGATTAATATCAGAATGGATGGGAAGGAAATACATAGGTTTGTGGTCTATTTTTGTTCTTAACATTGTTTTTGAAAATTAAAATGATTTTATTAAAGGAAGCCATCTATGCTTTTATAGGTAGTACAATATAACTGAAAAACTAGGTCTCATTGTAAAGGATTACTGCTGGATCTAGAAATTATGTTTGGTTAGTATTACAGTACTTAAAAGAGAACAAAGGATAAAATTCTTCATCATGGCAATTGACCTTTGTTTGTACAGTAAGAATATTTCTTCTTCACAGCTCCCTAAACTGACCAACCATCTGGGGCAGATTTTAATGCGGGGGCGGGGGGGCGGGCGGAATTACAAGACAGAGGAGAAATCACTCTCATTTTTCTTGATGGTATTAGTTCTATCAGTTGATAAACTGTGCTAGGTATCATTCATAAACTTTAGATAAACCATTCTGAGCGTTACTTCAGTTTGTGTTTTGAGAACTGCTTCTTTCTATAAACCTAATTTTTATTCCTTGTCAGCTTGTGGCCATAGCAACTCTAACTGCCACCTTCCAAAGGTCAAAGCTAATTGTGAGTTGTTTTACAAAAGCTTTGCAGCAAGGTCATTTATTTCTCAAGCAAAATAGGCAGGTTTTGGTCCCCATTTAGCACTGTTTCCACTATATTTTCATAATTCTGACCTTACAGAATATGCTCCTTATTTTTCTTGTTACAACTATTTAGCTAGCTTGTTACACCTAAATATGACCCCATTTTGTCAATCAGATTTATTACAGGATATTGGGGTGTATGTTTACATATAAATGTTGCTTTCTTGGGTCACTGATGTTATAATCTTTGATAGATTTACAATTTTAATAAAATGATCTGTTTATCTGGCAACAAAGCAAAGGCAGTTATTATTGTGCATAAGTTCAGGTTACAAATCAGAGCTACATGAATAATGAATGGGAATGACACATCCAGCACCCTGACAATGAATCCAAGTGTGAAGGGAATTCTAATAGAAATTCCTGTCTCACACACAGAAGGAGAGAGCTGCATGTACCCAGCAACTGGGGGATGAGGGAATTCTCTGTATGATGAGATGAACTTTCAGTGAGACACTCCCTCCTCTCATTTCTCCCCAGAAGCCGTTATCTCACTAAATGTGCCCAATAATATCTAGTACAGAAGAATATTCTATAAAAAGGCACCTTGCTGAAATAGTAGCCACTGTTTCCATCCAAGCCATAATTTGACCACCAAATGTATTTCCTTGATGATTGGCATGAGGAGGCAGGACAAGTTCAATGCTCTGCACATGAGTGCAATCGGTGTAAACCACATCTTCCTCTTTACTGCAAACATGGCCTAGAACACACGGCCCTGATGTTAGGAAAATTACTGATCACTCCAGATACACTTTTACTTTTCAACTGAAGTTACAATTCTTAAATGTTTTATCCAAGCACAGCCTTTCTGAAATTGATAGATGTTGATAAGATTTGTATCAAATAAGAAAAATCCTATCACTCCCAAACTCTTTTAAGACACAGATGTTTCTTATGTGGAACTATTATTACAGAAGTCCTTGAATTACGATGGCAATTGGCACCGGAATTTCTGTCGCTAAGCAATGTGGTTGTAAAGCATGATGTCACGTGACCACATCACTTAGTGATGGCGATCCTGGCTGTCATTGTATCCCCAGAACCACATGACTCATTAAGCAGAAAGAGGTGGGAGCCCCAGACAAGCAGGCTGGCAGGTGAGAGCTGTGGTGGGTGGGTGGGGAAGTGGGCAGGTGCCCTGGAGCACAGGTGGGGGTGTGGGTGTTGTGGGGGGGGGTGCCACAGGCAGGTGCTATGGAATGAGGGCAGGCGAAAAAGCGGCAGAAGCAGGGAATGTTAGAAATCATAATCATGTGACTCCAGCTCACTGTGATGTTGTAATCGCAAGCTGGGTACTGAGCACCCATATCGCAATCACATAACCCAGGGACGCTGTGACAGCTGGAACTTCGAGGACTGGTCGTAAGTCCCCCTCGTTCTATCATATCATAATTCTGAATGGTCACTGAATGAGTGGTTGTAACCCAAGAACTACCTGTACTAATTTGATTCTGATCTCTAAAGTTATCACACTATATATCTTTAGAGACTACATTTATTAGTTAGAATTATAGTGGTATTTAAGTGTATTTTAGAGATAAAATTGGAGAGAAAATATACAATCTTTCTATAATCAGTAAGGAAAAAAAATCCTAGTAAATGTGTACATTTTTGTTTTAAATGCCAGCCAGGCGAATCTGTCACATGATTCCACTTGACCTAAATTAAGCCTTTGGCTTCTGCCCCAGTTTCATTTGTTTCATAATCCCAGAGTTGTAGTTGGATCTACCTGACTGCCTTGCATTCTGGACCTACTTATCAGGCTGTTAAATTAGTAATTTCAAAGATATAATTGGGCCTTGCTTCTTTTTTGTGAACTTTGTACTAGTTTTGTGGAAAGCAATCCTAGCACTTGGTAACTTCATCCTTACTTTATCTGTTTTTGTTAAGGGTGACCCAATGCTAGTTTCAATAATATTCTCTTAGAAGAGAAGACCTGAAAGCACACCAACTGCTTTCTAGTGACATGCCTTGTATAATACAAGGGAGGAATGATTCTGTAAGTTGAAATGACCTGTTCTATCGTTTGCCTTGATTCTCTTCCAATGCATGCATTAAATCTCAATTGTGAGTTCAAAAATGTATGCCGATATAGCTATGGTAGAGTATGGCATAAAACAATTTGCAGCTGTGTTGGTCTGTTACATAATAAATTAGCATAATTCCAAAGGGAGAAGCTATGTGTGTGTGTGGGGGGGGGGGGTATGAGAGTTAGAGAGACAGAATTAAAGAGAGATGGAGATGGAATTAAAAAAAAAAAATTGCCGATATGACATAATCCGAAGCCAAGTTGTAGGAGGAGAGCCATGTTAATTAATAACATTTAGTAGTTGGAAAAGGTGTTACCAGACACTTTCTGAGGTAGAGAAAGTAATATGCTGATGGCAAGTTTGTCTGGGTTGCTCCTCGTTTTTGGAGATCTAAGCAGAAACATCACCTCACAGAAGGGCATGTTGTTTGCCTTCCTTTATATTCTTTCATATTTCATATTTTTCATAAATGATATATTATACAGTGCTGTGAGTTTCCAGTGCTTTTTCATACAAAGGATGCAACCAGGGTAATGTTGGAACTTCTCCCCAATTTGGAGATGTTGAAAATGAGGAACATACAATAATTCATTTGTTTTACTGACCATCATCCATGCCACATTCATCCATTAGATTATTAAACATGCGTTCATGATCCAGTCGAATTTTTCTTCTCTCAGCAGCCAGGTCATGCTCTATGAAATCTTGTATAGTGAGAAGCTTGACTGGTTTTATGTTAATCTAAATAAATTAAAATTTAAAAAAAAAATCAGCAAACCAGAGTAGAGTTCTGTCATGAACACATTAACAGAAGGAATGTCTAAAATTCCTTCTGTAATAAGCTACATTAATACTAGCCTGAAATAGTAATTTCCTAGTAACATTTGATAAACAATTTCTAATATTTTACACAATATTACAAATGTGAAAACAAAAATCAAGTGAGCTGAGCTTTTTAGAAAAGAAAAGAGAACTAGAAATGCAAGGTATATGTGGTGGCTGCAGTTCTTTGCCAGAAGTAGACCCTGGGCATTATTCTACATCTTTAAACTCTGCAACTCAGTTTACAGTCCAGTCTACAATGTCCTTAAATAAATTTCGATGATCCTCATCAGCTTTTGTATACAGATGATCCCCCTAACTATATCCTTGCAATAGATGGAAGCCATGGGGTTGTGAATGGACAACATTAAATATCTCTCATATATATCTGTATTTGTATCTGTTTCTGTATCTGCATCTCCTCCTATAGCTTGCATTCACCCACTGCCTCCTCAGATTTGCTCCAGGTTATCTTTCGATGCTGCAGTGCAGATTTTAGAGACATCCAGGTAGACAGGAAAATTTAATTGCCTTTCCACTTTTTAAACAAAAGCTATACTATCAGCAAACAGTGTTAATTGGATATTGTCCTAAATGTTTTAATTTACCCAGATCATTGGCAATGGAGCATATGAAAATGGACTGTGTTTTTTAAAAAAACATTTTAATAATATTTTGAATATGGCAAGATAGGAACTATGCTAATAATATCTGCAAGCAAAATGAATGTTTGATATTGGTAAATTATAAAGATACATTATTTTAAAAAATTGCTAAAAGTAATACAAAGAGCAAGGAAATGTTGTTTAGAGAAGTACAGTAAATATATCTGGAGCTATTACTGAGAAGTAAAATATAAAAATTTACCATTCTTTTATTGACAATGCAAAAAAGGAAAGAGTTAAGTCACACCGACTTTCTGGCCAGTTCACAAAGTTAGAGTACAGAGACATTCAATTTTTTTCAATGAAATATATTACCTTCTCATTTCGTATTGGCCTTGCAACATACGTAGAGAAAGCCACACAAATGAGTTTTTGAACATTAGTAAAGGGATCCTGTAATGTAACTCTGACACCAACCTATGTGTAGATAACAAAACCATTGTTGAATTCCAGGCAGCTACATAATTGTGAACAAATATATTAGTAACAACTACTCTTTTCATCTTAATGAAGATAAGAAGCTCTAGCTTTTTCATGTATACACCATAACCCCAAGTGACTATGCAGCAGAACCAGCAGAACAGACATGGACTACATAGACCATATTTATACTCTGCATATATGTATGTATGAATGAAATTTAAATCCTGACATTTCTTCAAGAACACAAGACATGTGTTAGCCCCGTGCCATCATATGCATATCTTTCATTCTCTTAAAAATCTTGGGGGACTAAGGGAACATCTTCCAGAGACCTCTGCATTCGGTGTAGAGTTGAACTGGGATCTCTGAACCAGCATTCTAAATGCTATCCTTACTGGTTTCATTTATAAATTTTACATAATTTTTTTGTGATTTGAATTTTTTATTTGTGACCTGATATTAATATCACATAAAAGCAAGATATGCAAATAAACAAATGATTCAACATATTCTTGGTCTTTTGTTGTACAGATCCAAAAGTCTTCTCTACAGCAAGAATGTAATGTTTGGAAATATATTGTTGCTTTTTAAAAAGCCTTTCTCTGCTCATTAGTGCAATGAGATCAGCAGAATTCTCAAAGCTTCCAGTATGACCACTATTGATTGCTACTTCACAGTGCTTGTGTTAAGAAGTGAATAACCAATACATCTCATACATGAGACTTTACAATCCTTCCTGACCCAACTAATCTCAGAATAAAAAAATAGAAAAACACCATGTCAGTTTCATCCAGGTAGAGAGTAATATTCAGCTTTTGCTTGAGGGTACAGATGGTCCTCACTTAACAATCACTCGTTCAGCAACCGTTCAAACTTGAAGTAGCACTGAATAAGTGGTACTTAATATCAGTCCTCGGAGTTCTGGCCGTTGCAGTGTCCCCACAGTCATATAATTGTGATCCAGGAACTTGGTATCCAGCTGCGGTTATGACACTGCGGCATCCATTTGTGACCTTCTTTGCCAGCTTCCAACAAGCAAAGTCAATGGGGAAACCGGCAGGAGGTTGCAAATGGCAACCACATGATGTCCTTGTTAAAGACCCACAGTGATTCACTTAATGACAGCAACCGGGAGTGCTGGAATTTCCACCACTAAGCGGCATGGTCATGTACAACCATGTTGCTTAGCAATGGCAATTCTGGTCCCAGTTGCCATTGTTAACTGAGGATTACCGTAGAGCAAAACTTGTTGCCAAATAAAACTTTCCAAATAATGCCTTGAGATTTCAGCTTCAGTATCTTTCTTATCTATGCTGAACACGCTAACTTCATAAAAAGGAATTTGCAATGTTTAATATGTTCTCTATAGAAAGGTGTCTCAATTTTCAATCTGTTACTTGTAGACTGGATATCATACTTCTGTTTTTGAATTGGGACACTACATGCTAAACCAGGTTGACACTGAAGACATCTTCCTGGCAGGGCCTGGTTTATCTGAGGGACCACTTTGAGGCTGAATGGATACGTTTCCTGTCCCCTCAGTTAAACATTGTTATCTTGTGGGACTAAGGAAGCCTTCTCTGCTGCTGCCATCACTCTCTGGAGCAGCATCCCCCAGAGATATGGACCGTGTTGTCCCTTTTGAGATTCTGGAAAGCCCTTATGACTAGGCTTTGCTTCCAAGCTTGGGGTTAATGTATTTGTGGGGTCCCTGTCATGTTTTTATTGTTTGAATCTTTTTAGTCCAAGCTGTCATGTTCTGTTTATGTTTTTTATCTGTTTTAACAGTGTATTTGGATTCTGTAAGCTACTCAGAGTCTACTGGAGTGGGTGGTTATAGCAATTTTAAATGAAATAAATAAAAACATAAACAAATAAATAATATTTTGAACTGCTTTTCTAGGTATGTTTACAGACATTTGTGCTTATTATTTGTATTTGTTTATTATATCTTTATCACATCTTTTATTAGAGGTTTATGTTGGGGCCTCTTAATTTTATCTACACAAAATTAGTCTCGTATAGCATGTAGGGCTGAAATGACTGGCATAGAGTCTCTTATGGACTTCAGTTTCTATGTTCAACTCTTCCAACCTTGAAAAAAATATTTTGTTCAAGTATTCAGACATCAAGTATAATGCTGAATTTGGAAAAGAGATCAATCAAAAGCATATACAAATGAATGAAGAAAGCCATCTGTGTTGGAATTTGTGTGAATTCATACTGTCACTTGCTTCATCCTGCCTAAATAATACAATATAGTATCTCAGCTTAAAACAAATCAAGTAAATATAATTTCTTACCTCCATACTGGTAGTGAATACCCTGTTTACCTTTGCTGTAATGCTGATAATCTGCCCAACTCTATTTAAAAAAATCACATATAATTACAAAACACATAATTTTATAAGTGGCAGTATATAGTCCAGAACTATGGTGTTTTGGAAATAACTGATATAGAAATCATATAATTTCAAGAAGCCCTATCTTAATATTATGGGTGCATTTTGCCCCCAAAGCAATGAGAGAATGTTTTTCCTATGTGCATAGGAAGATAATCTAGGGAATAGCCAAAAGGGGGAGGGGAAAAGAGACTCCCCATGGGACCCAAAAGATTAAGGACTTCTTCTGCATCAGAAAAATGTGGCTGCAAGCCAAGGTTGTTCTCCTTTTTCCTTAAATGCCAGTGACAGGGATATTGGCCAGGCAGATTCATTTCACAATTAGTGGCACTTGAAGAAAGAGATCACTGGGGGGCTTTAAATCTGAAACTTGGATTCATACTCAGAATTATCCAGGTAGGAACTCAGTGTCAGACTGTTTTGTCCACCTAGCCTAACATTATGAACTCTGACTGGCAACAGCTCTCCAAAATCTTAAGTTAAGACTTTCCACCTTGCCCACTATCTGTTTGTTTTACCTGGTCCTAGAGACTAAACCTGGGAGTCTTTGGAAATCTTTTATCAAGCCAGACCATTGGTCAATCCAGAATTTCAATCAGAAGTATTTTGCTTCACTTAGGGAAGGTAGGGGCTAACTTTTGGACCTTGCATTCTGTCATTTCCTAGACAGTTAGCATCACTTAAATAACACTGCTCTTGTTCTCTAGAACCTTGGGTCTCTGAAGAATGCACCTTATCAGAACACACTACATATAAACACTATTTAAATCATTATGACACTCTATCCAGTGATATTCCATGTATGCTTATAATCCAGTTTCTATGTTATTTTTTTATTTAGAATCAGAGGCCAAAGAAAGTCAAGTACAGTAATCAGATTTCATAATACACAGAGACCGATAAAAATTTGACCAAAAGACCAAATTCAACCCCAGTGCTTTCTAATGATGATCACTGTTGAAAAGAATTTATCTACTTTCAAGAGAACATCACTGGATGGATCTAATTAAACATGCACTATCTCCTCTACAGGTCATCCCAAACATTTAGGAGGTATTATTAACCCTGAGGGCTATTTGTTTCTATGTTGGGAGTACACGACTAGCTCCCATCACGACAAAAAAGTGCTTGTTTTTAACACAGAGCTTGGGAATTAGAATTCAAGGAACATTGCCCTGTCACAGACCATTGCATTTTCATTTGTAACTGATGAGAACCTTTTCAAATGTAGTAGTCTGAGAGCTCTCACTAAGAATCCAAGAACAAATGCAAAAAGGGGAAAAGAATCTAAAGTACAAATATTTGTGCAATACAAAAATGTAAGAACAGGGATTGGTTCTATAATGTAGGGGGAAAAGGCCCTATTTTTTTTTCTCAGACTTCATAAAAGATCAAAATTCCATTCTCCAAAGACACTAAAAAAATAGCTATCATATATAAAGAGTAGAATAGTACAGAATAGGTCTGAATTATTACCATCTTGTAGCCAATGTGCAGCATGTATTATGTTCATTTTTTCTGGTCAAAAGCAAGTTTGGGTAGGGCACAATTGTCCTGAGAATTTAGTAGCATAATTATGATTTACTTTTTCAAAAATCTAAATTAAGGAACACACCTGTAATTTGTAAAGAAAAAAAGCCCCCATTCTGAAACCTTTTTTCTTATGCTACTGGCAAGTACATCCATCTGTTGAAGGGATCTTGGATATTAATTGAAATAAATCATTATTGTGCCTGTAGTCTGCATGACTGGCTTGCAATTTGGAATGCAGTCTTGGCCTTTTGGCTAAGATCAAATGTAGTATATAGTGAATGCACTCTGTTCTTGAACATTTTGTTATTTTCCCACCTGGCATCAAATTGAGCTGCAGTTACAAGCCTTTAAGTGTATAACTTGAATTTTGTGGAACATTTTAAAAATTTGTTCTTATTTTCTTTCATTAAAGGAAATTATGCACAGCAGTGCTGCTGGGGCATTTAAAGTTAGGTGCAGTGCAACTGGAGATACCAAAACAAGCTGAGCCAGCCCTTTTCCCCTGCAAATGGTCTGTAATGGCGCATCCGCTGATTCTTCTTTGCAAATATCTCTCTCAGCCCAGTTTGTTTCTCATTTCAGACCATTTGGAAGAAATCAACTGGAGGCCATTTGCACGGGAAATTGATAGAAAGGGAAAAGTTTCTTTCTTTCTTCTTCAAGACATTAAAGGAAGTGTATATTTCTTGAAAACCGCTTTATAAGTGCATTAAGTATATACAGGAAATGTCACAATTAATGACCTTTTTATTTATTAATAATGTTCATTATCATATCAAAAGATTAAGAATTAATTTTTAATAAATTCTTAACTTTTAAGAATTAAACTGTAAGAAATAGAACAACCTAAGTTGCAACTCTCAAATTTTCACAGTGAACACTTTATTTAATATTGGGAGTAGAAAAATCAATATGTCTATAGAAATTTAAATTTTCTCTCTATTTTCTTACAGCACTTTTGTTTTTTTGCAAAGGATCATATGCCCAAGGTGTCAATTAGTATTTCTATGTTTATGTATTCTGGTTAAAATCAGTTAAAATAGCAAACTATAGTAAGGTTTGATAGTAATTAAGATGTACCTGGCAGTCTCTTCAAATTGTATGTCATCCACTGATGCTGTTACACAGGGAATGCCAGCATGTTTTTCAGCTTAGAAGAAAATATAGTTTATTGGGGGTAAATTAAGTACTGGGGAAAAGATAGTTACAGACATCATATAAATTTATATCAGCATCTGTTAACTTTTAAGCATGAAGGTTTGATTATCTTAAGGTACCTTTAGAAAAGATATTAGAAAAGTATACATTATCATTTTGTCAAACAGTGGGTAATCCAGTTCTGAATGCAGCATTCCAATAAGGGTTTATGTAACAGATCATTTCACAGGAGTGATTCAATCAAATCAGCCTCTCATGATGTCATTTGTCTTTGGACAACCAAAGATTTTGCCCCAAAATGCTCGATTGAATCTCAGTTTTATTGAGGAAATGTAACTGACCTGTATATAATAAACATAAGGGTAATGCAGAAATGCCATGTAGAGACAAGTTCACACATGCTATTTTTTTTTTATGTTTAAAGCAAATTGCTTGCAAATATATTTGAATTAGTTAAACTCATTCATTTAATTATAATTTCTGCCTCTCTTTTTCTTGGTACAGTGTACATAAAAAATGGGATGGCAAAACAGCTCATGATGTGAGAGTTCTATGACTGCAGGCAAAGGAAGGAATAAACGTTCTTCTTCCAAGTCAGACTACCGATTCACTTATCTCAGCACTAGATTTCAGACACCTTATCTGTGCTCTGAGATACTGGGTTGAACCTGTGACCTTATATGGGAAAAGCACGTATTCACCTTTCATTGTGCTATGCTTCTTTTCTATTCCCTATTAAATAGCTAAGATTGATTCAGCAGCATACAAATGTAATACACAAATACAATAAAATGTAATTCTCTCTGCTTGGAAAAAATACAGTCCCATTCCTTGCCATATTTTTGTTATTGTGATTTTTATATTATTTTATATTCTAATTTCGATTCAATTAGTGGAGTGCATCAGAATTCTTCCTTCCATTTCTAGGTTCCCAGAAAGTATCAGTTTTACTACATATATGATACTTCTGTTGAAAACCAGAGTTGGGCTGGAAACAATGTTTAAAAATTAAGATATTATGGTACTGAAGAACACCTAACAATTAACTGTCAAAAGTAATGGTTTTGGGGAAATGGTCCACAATGTTTAAATCATTTACTGTATGGGAGAAATCACCATAGAACTGTGTAAGCAATTTAAATATTATAAAATATTTAAATATTTAAATTTAAATATGTTGTAATAGTTGTCAGTAAGATATTCTCCTGGAAGGTTCAGGTAGAGTAAATTAAAATAGGAACAATTAAGACAATTGTGGAAACCATGAAAGAACCAGCATTAAAACTGTTCTATGAGAAAATAACTCCCTAAATGCTGCTTAAAGCAATTTGGAATGCCTACTGTGTAAGATCCTTAGAAACCATATAAATCCAGTTCTAGAAAGGATTATTGGGGTTTTTCATAGGAACTCTTGCTAATCTTCTGAGTAGAATTGGACTTGCACTCAATTAAAATTCACATTTATAAGGTCCTGCTCAGTTTTTGTAAACATCTCTCTTTGAAGAGTACACATTCTTGGTTAGGCAATGCTCAGTTCAACTGAACAGCTAGAAATCTGCCTCATATAAATTTTTGGATAAGTATTCATGCTCAATACCAACTATTCCTTTGGAATCTAGGGAGCGATAAGAATTTATAATTTGGGCACTAGAAGGGAAAAGAACCTTATGTAGTGTCAACTAAGTTCTCAATATGGAATGGCAGGTTGATTCTGAACCATAAAACAGCTAAGTATTTAGTTATAATATTTTATAAAGCCTGCAAAGCATTTACATCTTTAAGATTACAATGTATGCTCAAAGCAGTGACTTAGTATAGATATAAGCAAATCTCTGTTAAACAACTGTGTAGGTAAGTTGCAGGGTCAAAACACAAAGTAGCCCATAGAAATTAACGCCAAAAATTTAGATTTAACGAAGCTAGAAACTGGCTTTAGTAGGTTCACACACACCTAAACATCCTAAAATGAAGAAAAATTCTTAAAAGAATAATTGTCAAAATGGCTTAGTTGTTATTGCTATTCTCGATTTCCCTCTCCATTGTCATAATAGTTAGATTTTATATTGGTTTAAAGAAACAGTCATAACAGATTAATAAACAATTTGCATTCTGCAATTTAGATTGGGGGCATCTGCAGGGGGGGTCTAAAAAGTTAAGATGGTGGAAAATGGGAATTCACAGTTCTTACATGTATATAAATATGTTTTGGTTTGAATTATTATTATTTTTATTATCATTATTATTATTAGGGTAATCTATAATTAGATTCACAGTCAAAGACTGGTTGAAACTTAATAATTCAAGTCCTAACCAAGGAGCTAAGAATTATTAAGGTAGTATCTGAGGATATAGGCAGGGTATTTTTTTTTTTTTTTTTGTAAAATTAAGGTGTTCAGGTCAGATAAATTCAAAATTTCCAAATATTGGGTGAGTCCTTTAGGTATTGTTCCAAGGGCTCCAATCACAATTGGTATAACAGCAGATTTCTTTTTTCCATAAGTGCTCAACTTCGATCTGCAAGTCCCGGTATTTTGTAATTTTTTCCAATTGCTTTTGCTCAATCCTAGCATCACCCAGTATAGCAACATCAATGAACCAGACCTCCTTCTTTTCAACTGAAGAATACTAATTCCTCATATAGCCTGTTCTTTAGTACAGCTAATGTACTAAATACAATATAAACTATTATTTGGATTGTCCAGAAAATTGTCGGAGGCTTTATACTGCATATTCCAAAGTAGGTAGATGGGTAGGTAGGTAGGTAGGTAGGTAGATATCTGTAAGGTACATTAATGGCAATGTTATGAAAAGCTACCCATAATCGAAAGACTTAAGAATTACTGATAAATCCCACTTAAAGTTTATGAAAAACAGAACTACTGCTATCCCCTGGAATTTAAGCAAGAATCCCTTTGGTAACTAATAGCAGACGAAGAAAAGGGATTATATAATAGCGGTTTGCTTTCCTCTCCTCTCTTGGTTGCGCTGTTTTCTTTGATTACTGCAACAGGTGAGTCCCTGCCGCGTGCCCCCCCACACCCCGGCTCCTGAGCCTCCCCGCCTCGCAGCCGCTGAGAAGCCCAGGCGACCCTGCTGAACGCGGGGAGAGGCGAGGGGCGGCGCTGGAGGCAGCGCTGCGTCGCGTCGCTCCAAGGAGGGTCCTCGCGCGAGGGAAGAGGGGCTCGCGCTTACCAGCCAGGCACGCCGTGGTGTCGATCCACTTGAGCAGTTGGCCGGGGCTGAGCTCCCCGAGGTGGTTCGCGTGAGCGGGAAGGAGGGTCTGGCACATGTGGACTTGCGCGCCTGCCATGGCACCGTCTCCTTCGCCGGCTTGCGTCCCTTTGCCACGGGGCCACAGGACAGGGACTGCCCGGAGTTTCGCATTCCCTCCCCCGGTGCTGCTGCGCTAATGCGTAATTAGATGTGCCTCGGCGCGCTCCTGCGACTCTTAAGCAAGCCGGCCGCATCGTCAATCTCGGCCCAGCGGTCTTTTCCGCTTTTGCACATCGCTCTGGGGGCGTTTGGGGGGGGGGGAAGGAGCGAGGCGGTTTCACCTTTCCCCTCCTTCTCGGGCTGTGGCGGGTGGCTGCGGACGCGGCCTGGGCGCGGCAGTTCAGCTCTTACAAAATAATTAGAACGAGTAATCGCGAGGCGAGGTGCAAGCATTTAAGCCGTGGTCCGTCCTAAATTTCAGCTAGTGCGCTGCATGGCGTCTTTCCCCAACGCGATGCCCTTCAAGCCTATTCACCCAACTCTCATGTAGGCTGGGGATACTGGATTTTGTAGACCCACTATTTCTGAAGAGCTCTGTACCGAGAAAAGCCTGGTGTAAAGTCCACAACATGTTAAACATTGGTCTTGGGAAAACAAAACGTCATGGGCCTCTTTCCTCAAGTATCCCGTTCCAGATTCTTAAATACCATGAGATTGATTTGAGTAAGGAATGTCCAGCTTTTTTGGCCATCAAGCCAGATTGCTCCCATGCCAAAAGTCATCTAGATAATCTAGAAAAAATTATGTAAAGATGATACCTGCTCAAAGGAAACTGCTGGAGAGTTGTCCAATGTGTCACAATTTGGTAGCTTTAAACTGGAATCTTTGTATTAGAAGGAGTTAATCAGCTATGCTCTGAAAAAAAAGTTGTCAAGCATTTTCAGCGAAATTAGGCTGGGAATAAGTCTTATGGAAATACTACATGTTTTGAGTAGACAGCATAAGAGTTCAATCCTCAATATACCTTCTCAAAAGTGTAATTGAGTTCTATAAGCTTTACTCCAAGATAATAGTGTATATAGGGTTGCAGGCTTAGTAGACCACAATATACAATCTTAAATATAGCTATGTAGGATGTTTCCATCAAGAGTCCAGCTCTGGCTCATTTTGTGTACGAGATTTTTTTTAGGTTTCTTTAAATGTTCTGCACCTATGAATTAGTTGTTTTTAATACAGAAATAAGAGTAACTACAAATACTCTGAGCAAAATCTTTGCCACATTTCAAAAGAAAGGGGAAAAGTCAATAAAAACTTGCTAGGCAATAGCTATTGTATGGTCTACTGCTGTGCAATACAATGGATTCATCTAAAATATGACAGCTCTTTTAAAAGCAGTGTAAACAAACAGACCATACAAATAAACACTAAATATATTTGTATTGCAATGTAAATAAAGATCTCAAAGGATTATCCAAGTGGAATGTCTCCCCAGAACAGAATTTATGGAATATATTTATTTCAGGTACAATCCTTCTGACTTTAAGTAGCTTGTAGCAGAGAATCAGTATAGCAATAAATACAATAGTATCAAAAATAACTCAAAATATTAATGTTATAATCTATACAATATGTAAATAATATCCATTTGTCAATCAATAAAATACAGTTATACTAACAGCAGTGTTATATATTTCAGGTATATCGAATCTTCATTCCTCCATTCTAAAGGATTTTGCAAAAGCAGTTTCTAATAGCTTTCTAAAAATCAAGATTGAGGAAGCAGGCCTGATCTCCAGACCTCAAAGTACCTCCCTATTGTACTTCACAAGTGGTGGGAATTCTCAGCAGACACTCTGCAGGCATGTCTGAGGCAAGAGGAAGAGAACAGAATAAAATCCAATAGTATTTGAATAAGGTACTTGTCATAGGTAACCAGGCCCCAAACCATGTAGGACTTAAAAGGTAGTAAGTAACACCTTGAATTGCAACTGGTACCTAATGCAGTTCCCACAATACTGGTGTTATGTGATATATTTGATGGTCCTGGTAAAATGCAGGCATCCACACTGTGGACTAATTGAAATTTCTGGATATTGTTTAAGGGCAGTCATATGTAGCAATCTGGGCATGAAGTGCCAAGAGCATGAGTGACCATTCCCAGTATCTCCTGTCTAGGAATAAACACAACTGGTACACAGCCATAGCTGGAGAAAGGGTCTCTTGGCCACAGCTTCTACCTGCTTTTCCAGCAGGAGCTGATCATCCTGGAAAAATCCCAAATTGTATACCAGCATTTTCTGGTGGAGTTTAGCCTTGTCAAGTGCTAAAGTTGCTTTTATCCCAGACTCATTTGGCCTCTGAACCAACATTAACACCTAGGTAAGCTTGAGTCTCATTCTGTTTCTCCTCATCCAGGCCCTTACAGCATCCAGACCTGGGTCAGGACTTCCAATGCATCTTCTGACTGGTCTGGGGTAGAGAGACATAGTTGGATTATAATAATCCAAAGCATCAAATGACCTTCCACAGCAGCTCTATGTAGATGTTACATAAAATAGGGAAGGTTTCAAGCCTGTGGGGTCACATGTTGGAGTGCCTAGGCTCAACCAGCGCTCCCTCACATATACAGAGAAGCATCACCCATCCACTCAGGAAGAAATGGGGCCGTTGTTTCCAAAAATTTCCCAAAACGGCCTATCCTTGCAAATGATTTTTAAAAAAAATCTTCTTACTTAAAATACATTATCAGTTGAACAAAACAGATGAAAGTACCATAGTAACCAAAAAGATGATTGTGAATTCAAGATGATTCTCTGTAAAGAAAGATAAAAAAAAAAAAAAATTGCAAACACAGATAATAATACTGTGCAATGCCCAAATTTCCTATTTTGTCATCCTAGGGTTGCCAATTCTAGCTGAAACCAATTCTTCACATTCCTCACTCATTAAATGTGTAAATGTTACATACTTGTACAAGTATGCCTATATGTATGTATGTATGTATATACACACACACACACACACACACACACATATATACACACACATACATATATACATACATACATACAGGTAGTCCTCATCCTATGATCATTTGCTCAGCAGCCCTTCCAAGTTATGACAGCGCTAAACGAATGGTGGTTATGACTGGTCCTTGGAGTTCTGGCTGTCCTAGCACCTCTGTGGTCAGGTGATCACAATCTGGGTGCTTAGCAACCTGTTCACACTTACAACTGCAACCTTAGCCCTTCTGCACTTGTACCAGCCACATATGCACACCCGCGCACCTCCCTGACCCATACCACACTCCCTTGCACCCTCACGCACACTCCCCGACCCTCACTGAGGGTCTCACCCACCCTCATGCACCCTTCCCAACCCACGCACCTTGACCCACCCACCTCTCATGCACCCTCCCTGATCCATGAGGTGCCTCTTGCGCACCCCCTCACTCTCTCCCACATCATCCCTGATCTTCATCCATCTCACGCACCCTCTCTGACCCTCCCACACACCCCCTCGCTCCCCCACCTAGCAGCAGCCACTTACCTGCCTGTGGGCCAGGGACTTGCAACTTCCTGCTGGCTTCCCCACTAACTTTGGTCTTGGGAAGCTGGTAGGAAGTTGCCTCACCTAACAACTGTGGGATTCAGTTAATGATGGCAACCAGAACTGCAGGGATTGCCGTCTCTATCCGATATGGTTACACTTTACGACGGCATTGCTTAGCAATGAAAATTCTGGTCCCAACTACTATCGTAAGTCGAGGATTACCTGTTATGTCAGAAGTCATATTTTAGAAAAGAAAGGCTAGTAGAAAAAAATGTTGGTTAAAATTAGCTGTAAAAACATATTTACAAAACTAATTGTTTCTTTCATCTGATATTCTAATCTTTCTCTGTCTCATAGACAAACCTCTCACATGTAGAAACACACAGGTATTCAAACGTACAAACACACTGTCCTCTCTCCTTCCAGCAGAAAAAGCAAATAAACAAATGGAAATAAGAGCAAATGAAGGAAGGAAAAGTTGTGGGTGGGTGGGGAACAAAACTGGATCGACATCTGGCCAAGGGAAAAGATAGCTGGGGAGGAGAAGAGGAAAAAAAAAAAGAAGCAACAGCCCAGGTGCTACAAAAAGGCTTACATTCACTTGGTAAGGAGCCCCTCCCAAGCAGCTAATTTTCAGATTAATCTTCACCAGCATCCATAGTGTCTGCATCTCTTGTTCATTTTTTTTCAACAGCTTCTGTCATTATGTAAGAAGATAATTGGGGAAGAAATCTGTCTTTCTAATAGTCTTTGAAGTGGACAATAGCTCTTTGTAAAATGAATGATTGGCAAGTAAATAAGTGTCCATTATATGATAATTTTCTAAGAATGTTAATATAACAGGTGGAATTGGGATTAGGGTAATTGTAATTGCCTTAATAAAATGGTACTCAAACTACCTTAAACATTATTATTGTGCAAGTTCTGTACAGAATGCATTTACTCTAGAAAAGGTTCAGAACATTTTGTTTTGGGTGAATATTCATTTTGTTTATGGAGGCAAAATGTCTGACTTCCAGAAATGTCAGCTGGCCAGCGATCGCAAAAGGCAATGGTTGCTTTTCAACAGACCAGAACTGCCCTTGATTTGTTAAATCATCTGGTGCAGGACCAGTGGATAACCATATTATCAGTGGTTTTCATCCGTCTCATTCCTTCCCGAAGCCACGCGTCCCATAACTTCTGCAATCCAGGGTCCCATTCTCGCAGTCCTTTGGAAACCTCCCCCAGGCCTTGCAAGATCGGGATGCCAATTTTAGGGAAGGAACAAGAGGTGTGATTTACAGAAGTTATGGGACACGTGGCTTTGGGAATAAATGGGATTTTAAATTCTATAAATTTTAAAATTAATATTCAGATGAAACCAGAACTTTTTTTATTGGAACTTGGAGATAGCCAATTAGAAAGGACTTATGGAAGATTGGTTTTGTATATGGTAACTGTAGCAAGACTACTATATGCACAAAGATGGAAAAACACTGAAGCACCCACAATGGAGGAGTGGACTGTGAAGATGGCAGAATTCGCAGAAATGGGGATAAAACAATAAGTACTTTTATAAAAGACTGGAAACCTCTTATGGACTTTTTTTTGCTGAAAATGGGAAAAAAAAGAATTGGTGATTTATAGGTTTGCTGATTAAAAAGGGTTGTATATGGGAAGAAGGGAACCACGTAATGTAATCTTAAACAGGGAGAAGGGATAATAAGTTTGTAACTGCTGTAAAAAGAAGTTTCTTTATATATCTT